ACATACGAACACACAAATATGCACACACAGATACATGCATATGAACACAAAAATACACAGAGATACACACAGATACATACATACGAACACACAAATATACACACACAGACATACACATACGAACACACAAATATGCACACAGATATACACACACAGACATACACATACGAACACACAAATATGCACACACAGATACACGCATATGAACACAAAAATACACACAGATATACACACAGATACACACATACGAACACACAAATATACACACAGATACGTACACAGATACATACATATGAACACATAGATATACACACAGACACATATGAACACAAATACACTCAATGATACACACATATGAACACACAAATATACTCACAGATATACACATATGAACACACAGATATAAACACATGGGTACACACATGAACACAAATATACACACAGATATGCACACAGAGATACACATACACACAAATATACTCACACACATATGAACACACAAATATACTCACAAATATACACACATGGATATAAACAAACACACAAATATACACACAGATACATATGAATGGATACACACGTATAAACACATAGGAGGCCACACAGACACATGGATATGCACACAGATATACATACACAGATACACACATCCAAACACACAAGTAGACACACAGGCATACACACACACATGGATATACACACAGATACGCACACATGGATATAAACATACAGATATACACACGGATAGACATATACAAACACACGGATATACACACAGGCACACATGCAACCTCAGGACTCACAGAGGGGCCTGTGTGTGGGGCTCCAGCGCAGGGCTGGGTCCAGGTGGGGAGGTGGCCTCATCCCCAGGCTCGAGACAGGGGCCCTCTGGGGACAGAGGCCAACGTACCCCAAGGTATCTGGCTCCCTGATGCCCCGAGACAAGGCAGCCCCGTGCTGACCCTCCTCCATCCTAGGGGAGCTCCGCCCTCGTCCCTTCTCCCAGGTGGGGAAGTGGAGGCTCAGGGAGGAGGCCAGCCGGCCGGGGTCACAGGCCGAGCAGGCAGAACCAGGCTGATCCAGCTCTCCCGGCTCCAGGCCGAGGCGGCGGCACGTGCAGCAGAGCATGGGGATTCCACTGTCGGGATGGGTCCCAGGGAAGCCAAGCAGACCGGGGCCGTGCAGGACGGGCCGGACCCACAGCTGGGGTTTCCGGGGTCACCCCAGAGCCCCAGGCAGACCCAGGGCAGGCACAAAAATCTATTAAAAAAGTTTTTTTTAATAAAGAACTTGCCTTGCTTTTAAGACCAGAAGATAACTCTTTCAGAAATCAAACCAACCACAAATCCCCATTCTTTCTTTGACACCTACCCTCCAGCACACACACAGCCACTCACCCACCGCGGCCACCTCTGCTGAGGGGACACGGGCCAGCCTCCTTGCCCGGGTTGCCTGGACCCTCAGGCCGCGCTGGGGGTTTGGGGGCCTGGGACCCACAAATGCACACCTGTGTGCCCAGGGACGGCGCCGGGGAGTGACAGGCAGCCGCCTGGAAGATGGAAAGAAACAGAACAGAACTTTGGAGAAGTTTTTCTCATTATAAAGGCAGCAATATAACCATTGAACAAAAACCAGATGGCAGAAAGAATTTTAAGAGAAGAAAGAAATGATCCTTTTTCCCCCAAGGATGGGCCACGCCCGTAGCTCCTCCCAGATGGTGTCTGCAGTCAGGGTGCACCTGGGTGGATCCACTAAACTCCCCTTTCCAAGGCCAGCTTGTCATCACGCACAGGGACCCCTCTCCACCTGAACAACCCAGCCATGCTCCCCCCGGCCATAGTGCCTCGTCCACAGGTGGGGTCCCCCAGGGGGCTCTCGAGACAGGGGCGCAGGTTGGGATCTTCACTTCTCAGCCCCGTTCCGGCCACCGAGCACAGGAGGCAGCCTCACCTGTGCGTGGGCTCAGAGATCGGCTGGGGTTGCAGGGCTGGGACCTGAGCTCGTCACGACCACCGGGGCAGAGGAAGCATGAGCCACGCACCACCCTGGCTTCTGGCTGTGGTCTCTGAGCCTGAGAAGAAGAGCACGGCCCTTGAGAGGCCCCCCAAGGGAGCAGGCCCGACCCGGTAGCCAAGGGAAGTCTGCCTCAGTCACTAAGTGAGCGCAGGCGGGCTGTTTGTCTGTGTCAGGTATGTGGGGGCCTCCTCATGGCCAGGAGCAGCTACAGGCTCATGCATGCTCTTCACACGCACAGGACAGCGGGCATGGTGTGCCCCCACATCCACCCAGGCGCCAGCTCTGACGTCCAGCCCATATGCCCTGCAGCGTGGCTGTGTGACAAACACGCTCAGGTCCAACAACCCCTCCGGGCCCTGCTAGTGGCTGAACCAAACTGAGTGTCCCCCAGGCAGGGGGATTGAGGTGTCCAGTCTGGTGGCTCCCAGGAACCTGGGATTAAGAGCCCTGGATGTGCAGCAGCTCTGCGGGTGGGCCCACCAGAGCAGGCCCAGCAAGGCGCTAGTGCTAGGAGGCCAGGACACAGGCCCAGCCTGGAGGTGGGGTCCCAGGCTCCATCTTCGGGGGCCACCAGCTGCGGCTGAGCTCCAGGTCTTCCAGAAGCCACTAGCCGAGAGTCAGACTCAGCCAGGCAGCTGCAGGTGCCCCGAGAAGGGGCCGGGGACGCCCAGCACCCACACAGCCCTGAGGCTAAGAGCCCAGAGTTGGTCCCACTAGCTGTGCTAGTCGCCTGAGGTGCCAGCGCTGGGCTGGACTGGACTTGGGGGTCCGTGCCGAGCCCTCCACAACCCCCTGTAAGACGAGCGTCATTCCCATCCTTTTTGGCACAGCTTTCACAGAAACAGCGCACACAGGCTACACCACACTCCTGGGGGTCATGTTCTTGGACCCAGGGACTCGGGCAGGGGCACCTTAAAAAAAAATCTGTGGATGCAACTCCCAGGTGCGCTCTCGGCCCTTGGGGCTCCGGGTCGCAGGTCCCCGGCAGCCGTGAGTGGGGGGCCCAGAGCCGAGCACACAGGCCTCCTCCACCGGCTGTTTCACTGGTCCAGCCTACTGTTGTCAAATTCTGTTCATTCCCCGAGTCAAACCAGGCTGGATGGCAGGACCCCAGGCCTCAAAACCCTAGCATGGTCCCCAGTGACCGCTGCCCCCACCAGACGCTGAGCCCACTCACGGGAAGGATGGGGAGTGTCCTGAAGGCCAGATTCCCCCTGGTGCTGGGCTGGGCATGGGAGCCGTTTCTACACCTGGACTCAGTCCACGGCCGACAGCTCCAGGTGGACGACTCTGGGCAGCCAGCGCCCTGTGGACTCCCGGGCGGGAAGGAGTCCTGGGGCGACTCGGCTGGGCCTGGGCCTCTGTGCAGCACCCCCTCATTTCTGGCGACGCACAGAAAAGCTGTTTAATCTGCCTGGGCGATGACATAAATCTGGGAGGGATGTCTGATGTGATGGATGACAGAATAAAGATTCAAAATGACTCTGACAGGCGCCGACCGAGAGGATGGCATTTAGCAGTCACAAATGTCAGTGCTGTGCTTGGATCAGAATGAAAACAAGGGGCAGCCGAGGAGGCCAGCCAGCTGGAGGGCCGGCCCTGGGCAGCCGGAGCTGACCACAGGCTGGGTTACGACCTCTAGTGCATGACGTGACAGAGAAGATGGGCACCTGGGGCACGTCCCCAGCAGGGAGGAAAGGGGCCCCTGTGGGTCCCATGTGGAGCTCAGACGTGCAGCTTCCCTAGGACACACACTGACAGCCCGTCCTGTTCAAATTTGAGGCTGGACAGGGAAGTCCTCAGCCATGGCCACCTGCCCTGGGCCTGGGTAGCAGCCAGGTGAGAAGGTGGCTCTGCCCTCAGAGAGGGTCCAGGTGGTGCAGGCAGCGCTGAGGAAACCTACCCTGTACAAGTACTGTGAGGGAGGGCACGGCCGGGAGGGCCCTGGGACCCGGAGAGGCTTGTGGACAGAGGGATGTGGGGTACTGGTGCAGCTCCCGCAGGATGGCCTGGGGCACTGCATACACAACACAGGCCTTCGGTGTCCTGGGGGGAGGAGTGTCCACTCTTCTGCCTCAAGAGCAGGCCTGGTGGGTCTGGGGGTACACCGAGTGTCCACACGCGCCCCATGGCCAGCAAGGGTCAGGGGTCTGTGTGGGCGTTCTGGGCCTCCAGGGCCCTCTGGGGGGTGGGCGAGGCGGGTTACAGGGAAGCAGGCTCCAGTCACAGCTCGTGGAGGCCTCGAAAGATCAGGGATCAGAAACGACCCACACGGTATCTCTGACCCAGAATAAGCTGCAGCCCAGGACGCCCCAGAGGAGGACTACCTTCCAGAGGACGCAAGGGGGGTGGTGGCCCTGGTTTACGGAACCCTGTGTCACCACCTGCTCATCACCGTGACTTCAGAGGACAGCGTTTTAACAGTCAAGCCCCAGGCAGAGTTCACGCACAGAAGAGCACGCCCACTGTGAGTGCGAGCCCACGAGTTCCACACGCTTACACCAGGCACACACTGCTCCCGCCAAGAGGCAGGGCTTTTTGTCTCCCAGAAAATTCCCGCACACCCGTGGCAGCCAATTCCCGCCACCTCTGGCTCTGGACAACCACCAATCAGCTTTCAGAACGGAGCCCAGGGCACAGGAGAATATCTGCAGGATCGGGGAGAATCAGAAACGGATCGTGTCATCAGAGCTGTGGTCATTCAGATTTGTTTACTGAGCTGTTACATATAATTTTTGGGGTGTAGGGAGTAAGACTGGCCCTGAGCATACACCTGTTGCCAATCTTCCCCATTTTGCTTGAGGAAGATTGTCGCTGAGCTAACGTCTATGCCAGTCTTCCTCTACTTTCTATGTGGGATGCCACCACAGGGTGGCTTGATGAGCGGTGTGCAGGTTCACGGCCAGGAACTGAACCCATGAACCCCAGGCTGTGAAAGGGGAGGGGGCAAACTTAACCACTATGCCACTGGGCCGGCCCCTATTTTTTTCTTAAATCAGGATTTATCGTCAAAGACACTGTATCTATAACCCACTGGCCTAAATCACCTTCAGCCTCTTCCTTCTCTGAGAAGCCAGAGTCCTATGGCCCTGTGGTCCAGCCTGAACTGGCCCGCTGTTCCCACAACTCTGTCCCCAAGTGTGGCCACACCAACAGTGGTGACAGGCACCCAGGAGGCCCAGTGGGGACCACAAAGTGGAAGCGCTCAATCGGCCCCCAGCGGACCAGGGGTCCTTGATGTTGGGAGATGCTGGCTGGCCTCCCAAAGGCCTCAGACAGCCTCTCCACGCTGTCCTGAGCAGGCAGAGGGCTACTGCCAGGGGTGGAGCCGAAGGAGACCCAGCTCAGGAGCAGGAACGGAGCAGCCGCGCACAATTCCATCATCCCGCAAACCTCTCTGTACGGGCCTGGCCTCAACACGACCTCCTGGGGTGTCAGGAGTCCGCAGAGGTGCAGAACTGCTCCCCGCTGCCCCGGGCACAGCCTCCCACTGCGAGGCTCATGGCAGCGGGTCCCCTGGGCCCAGCCTCCCGCCGATAAGACCCAGCCCGTGTCCTGACGTCGAAGCCCCTGGAACGCAGCTCGTGAAGTTGATGCTTCGGCTCTTGTGCCTCCCGGGCTGTGGGGGAGGAGCATGAGTCCTGGGCTGGTCGTGCCCCCGCTAGACGCCCCCAGCTGTGAGGTGGGGGTGGCAAGTCCTCCCTCGAGATGGGCCAGGGGCCGGCAGCTCCTCACAAGAAAGTCACAGGACCAGTGGGGACCGGAAAGAATCTCCAGTCCCACAGGACCCAAGGGAGACAGAGGAGCAGCAGTACCGGGGGACCCATGGGCTCAGCACCAAGACCGTCAGATCCTTGCCTTCCCCCTGCGAGCCCACCTCTAGGAGACTCTGCTAAGGGAAGGGCGTCACTCTGAGTGTCACAGGGACAAACCAGAGAATACCGTGTGACCTTGGTGGCTGGAAATGGTGTGGACGGCTTCCCAGGCCCCGGGCAATGCTTCCCACCTGACGCCGGATTTCAGTTCAGGACACAGGGCACCTTCGCACCACAGCATCATGATGCTCACGGGGTCTGCAGTCTTGCCACTGTGGCAGGACACTGCTTTATCCATCCCCTCGGATGGGCATCCTCATGCCGCGTGTTGTCAAATCTGCGCCTGGCTCATTCTCAAAGTGTGACAAGATGAGAAAAGACCATGTACAAAATCGGAGGGAGAAAAGATTTAAAGAACTTGCTAACAGCCATAGCAGAGGGCCGGTCTGGTGGATGCACGGGGGAGCAGGCAGTCCCTGGCTGGGGCGGAGAGGCAAGTCCTGTGCCCCGTCGGCTCACACATGCAGTGTGCATGGAGTGTTTCATCACCAGTTTAAGGCAGCGCTGGAGGAAAGCATGGCTCACAGTCGTGGGCGGGGCCACACCATGGTGATGTGGACAAAGGCGATTGCAGCCCCAACTCAGACTCAGAGCATCAATTACCAGATCACTATTATTACTATTTTTATTATGGGCAAAACTCACCAGCCAACTTGGCCTGAGGCCAAGAGACAAGGTGAAAAGGAGGGGTGATGGGGGGCTCCCAGGATGGAGACCACCCAGGCTCTCCACCTCTGCCTGTCTGGTACACACACACGTGTGCACACACACCCCACCCGCATGTGCACACACAAGTGCACATACATGCACACACACGTGTGCACACACCACACACACGTCCCAGATGCCACACTGCTGTCCCAGACACACACACCCCAGCCTTACCCAGCACTGATGGTATTTGGACGTCCACCTCCATTTCCTTAGAAGGCACTCAGGGCAAGGACTAGAGAAGACCTGCCAGAGGGACCCTCCAGACCTGCTCTCCAACACACACAGCTCCCACGTGCAGACAGCTCTCCTGCGCCCGCCCTCACAGCCAACGAACCACACACCTCCAGCTGGCCATGGGGCACCAAGGTGACAACAACTGGGGTTGCTAGGTGGGGGGCCCCTGCCCACTCCTGACCAGAGATGACACTGGTATGTCCTGAACCCGGGCACAGTGCATCCTCTTCCTCTCACCGGTGGAAGGTGGTCCCAACTCGTGCTCAGCCACGGCTGCAGGCTGAGCCCACGCTAGTGTCATCCCCGAACTGCAGACTCACAGCCACTCCCCCTCCAGCCCTGGTGCAGGGCGTGCCGGGCCCCGACTCTGGGAGGAAGGAGCACCGAGCGCAGAGCCCTGGGCCTCCTCAGTTGACACCGAGCCTCTCCCATCACAAAAGGAGACATCACTTCCAGATTGGAGCTGTCTAGATCCTAGCCTCGACACTGTGCTCACAAATTAAATGTTTGGTTTTATCCCTGATCATATAGACATTCAGCGCAAGGATTAAAAAGTACAGAGAAAAACCCTCTTTAAGATCAGGTGGAGTATTAGAGTCTCTATGTTTGAGCTGGGTTGAAATCGAGTTTGCTATTAAACCGTGGCATCAAATCCTCTGTCGCAGTTCGACTTCAATGGACTCGTTCAACACGCGCGGCAGATCACCAAGCCCAGCTCCCCCGTGGGACGGGGTGGGGACCAGCTGAGGATTATCTCGGCACGACAGTGTGCCAGGCGCAATAAAGAAATTGAGCGAAATCGGGGTCTGTACAGAAGGCCATCCTCCTGTGGCCTCACACACGCAGTTGCCCAGAACGGCCCAGGGCTTGGAGCAAGCTCCGCGCACATGTGCGCAGCACGACGTACAGACCTGGCAGAGCCCCGGCCGGTCCAGGCTAAGGCTGCTCCAGGCCCCGGCCAGCGGGAGGAGACAGGAGATGGGCGGCTGCACTCCCCGAGTCCTGCATGTACACGACCACACCCCGTTACTGAAGGAACATCCCCACAGTCCTCAGACTTTGGGGACCCAGAGCCAGCCCGGCCAGTCCATAGGCCCTCAGAAGTCACCCGTGGGGACACCGGGGTGACAGTGTGAGTTCAGGGGTGGGCCATGTGTCCTCTGCTGGGACGTGCCCTCTTCCTTCAGGATGCCGGCTCACGGCCAAGTTGTGTAGGCACACACACGGTGGTGTGTGCACACTAAGGCAGATGTGCACGCATTCACATGTGTACGGATTTCCTGGGCAGTCCCCGGGGGCCTGTGTGCTCTGTCCTGTGGGACTCAGCAGCCAGGGAGAAGTCCACTCGGACCGTCCACAGGGCCGCACACCACCTGCCTGCCGAGCTCGAGGACTCTCTCATGGGCCCTCATTTGCCTTCCAGCCCCGCCTCCCAGGATGGCCGCCTGTGCTCCCAGGAGCTCAGCCTTGACACACCTGCCCAGCCCAGTCCCAGGAGACACTTTCATGGCCAACCTCAGCCATGTGCCTCCGTCCCCTGAATGGAGAGCTCCCTCAGCCCCTGTGCCCAGGTTGATGCCACCCTTCTGGGCCTGGAAACCTACAGCATGGCCTGTGCTCAGGCCTGGCTCACCTGGGCTCCCAGACACACCCTGGAAGGGAATCAGGGGGCACAAGGTAGCATCAACTTGGCCCTTAACCCTGGCTGACCCCTCTATCCCCACAGCTGAACCTCCCAGCTCATCCCCCAGGATCGGAGAGACCAGAGGTGGCACCCAAAAACTCAAATGCGGACGACCAGGAGGGAAGGGCTCCCACGGGGTTCACAGGGCCCCAGGGGCTGCCTCACCGGGTTTGCCTGTGACTTCCTGGTTCTGGCCCACAGCATCCTGCGGTCCAGACAGGCAGTTGGTCCTGCAGTATTCCTGCCCTGATTTGGCTTTCTTCTCCCATCTTACAGATGAACCTTGACTCCATCCTGCTCTGTAATTCAGCCCCAACTTCCCCTGACTGTCCCCACTAACATAATTGTGAAATATAATTATGGCTTTTCCAGCAAAGTCAAAATCTTCTCATGGAAACTTCCCAGAATCCGGCTGGCCTCGTCCCAACCTGCTCCCATCCCGTCACGTCATCCCCCCATCCTGTCCCACAGCCGTGCTCTCTCCTCCCTGGGCAGCCCTCCCACTCAGGCGGCGTCTCTGCCCAGAGGCTGGATGAACTGGGACAAGAGGGCCAGGTGGCGGCCCATCCCACAGTGGGCTGTACCCTCCCAGAACCTTCTGCCAGCTCAACATGGAGGTGAGGAGCACCCTGCCCACTGCTTGGCCTGGCCTGCAGCCTCCTGCAGATTGGAAAACACGAGAAGAGCCCAGGAAAGCACAGCAGCTCTGCTGAGAGGGGAAGGTGGAGAGAATGGGCTCCCCTTTACCAGCTTAGGGGCCTCCGCTGGAAGCCAGCAGCCCGGCCCCTCCAGGTGTGTCAGGCCAGGCTCTGAGAGCCAGCGGGCATCTGGACCTGCACAGGAGCCCATGGAAGGGACTGCCACGAAAGAGGAAAAGGGTAATGACACTGATTACTGCGACCGGGCTGGCTCCCCAGGGCCTCCCAAAGCCCGGATCAGAACAGCTCTACTTCAGTGGGGCTCCATGGGGGGCCGAAAATTAAAACCATGCCGCCCCTGGCCAAGCTGCCCTCCTCCCCCGACCCAGGTCCCCCGGGCCACCCATGCGATCCGGCACCTGCCAACACGCCGCGGCGGGAGGCACCAGAGTGGGCTGCAGGCGCCAGGTGATCTGAGCGCATGGAAGCCACCACATAGTTGTCAGGGACCTCCGCCTACTCTCACCACCACTGCCGTCACTCCCCTAGGACAGGACAGTGCCCAGAGGGGGCACGATTGTCCTTGAGATGGGAGCTTTCAGAGCCAGCTGCCACCCCAGCTGGGACCACGGCTTCAAGAAGAAAACACAGCACCCCGTCAAGGGCTGAGGTGCCCCTGCCAACGGCTGGGGAGACAGACGCCTGCTGCGGAGGAGCAGCTGTTTCTGGAAGGCTCTGGGCCCCCAACCTAGGGAGGGGAGGGTCATTAGAGGTGGCCCCAGCCAGGCTTGCAAAGAGAGCAGGGCGGTTTGAAGTGGACCATGTGAACATGTGGGTGTGTGCTCCGCCCTGGAGAAGGCTGGAGGGAGACGCCAACTCCTCACAAGACATCACAGGCCTCAGGTCCTGGCCTTCCTCCTGCCTGGCAGCGCCTGCTCCCCCGCAGATCCCCGGCTGTGCCCACCCAGAAAGCCTGCCCAGGGAGCCCCTACTCACCCTTCAGGTCCAGATGGGCCCTCCCACTCACACTGCACGCCCCCAGTGAAAGGACTCTTACAGGGTCACTGGGTCACCCTGCCTTTCACCTCCTCTCCCTCTTGCTGGGGGAGCAGGGGACAGTGAGAACGCCGATGGCCACACAGCCCACTCCCACCCGACATCAGCAGGCTGGGCTCACCTCTTCAGGAGCATGTTCCAGAACTAAGTCCAGCTGACTCTCGAAAGTCCTACAAGGAGTGAGGCCACAGGGTCAGGGCTGATGGCATACCCATGGGAGGTCCCTGACTTCTCCATCAGGAGGGGACAGTTTGAGCCCTGGGACCACAGCAGCCCTGGCCTCTCTGCCAGGGGCCCTGGGTTCCCTCCTGCTCCAGCTCCCCAGGAGCCGGAGGAAGATCCTTGTTGTTTGTCCTCTTCCACATGCTGAGCCAGGCGGGTCCCAGCCCCTGCACCCCATTCCATGCTCAGTAACCCAAGAGCTCGAGGCCCAGTGAGCCTATAAAGGCCATATGAGGTCTTGATGTCCCCGACCCCACAGAGCCAACCCAGGCCTCCAGAACCCCAATTGGTGACTTCATCCAGGCCTGCTTCTGCCAGGGCTGCATGAAAACCATCCAGGAGGCCCCGTCCTCTCTGCAGGGATGACAGAAGGAGCAGGTTGACCACAGCTACCAGCCCTGATACTGGCCACCGAGCGGGGGTAGAGCACCCAGCAGCAATACTGAGGCCCCTCCCGACCGGGAGGACTCTCCAGGCTCTGCCAAGGCCCAGGTCAGGGCTCCAGAGTGGTACCTACACACGGTGAAGCCGACCACAGACCTCTGGGTGCAGTGGCCTCACCCCCATGGCCTTAAACGGTCACAGGAAGGCCATGGAGCTGGCATCAGCCTCGGTCTCCTGAGGGGCAAATGGGCCAGTAGATGAGACAACACTCCTCCTTCTCTGGACCAGGACCCCGCCGCCCAGAGCAGACGCTGCAAGGAAAGGCAGTGGACTGAGGGGTGAGGGGTGACAAGAGGGGGATTGCAGGCCCATCTCTGTACACAGCAGCCCCTCCCTCTTAATGGCACGGCCACCCAGTGGGCCCCAGGGCTGGAAGAGGCCTGAAGACACACAGCAAGACTGACAACACAGCAAAGGGGGTTAGAAACATGCCCCACTCAGTAAGAGAAGAACAGCCCCAGGGATGTCCAGGACCCAAACCCTGGAACCTGGAAAAGGCTGAGTGTCACCGTGAGTGGTAAAGACATGACCGAATTCTTGAGCGGGGAGACGGTCCTGGGGGCATGTCATCACGGGGCCCCTATAAGAGGAGAGTGAAGGGAGATGGTCCTGGGGCTGTGTTATCACAGGGTCCCTAAAAGAGGAAGGTGAAGGGAGATGGTCCTGGGGCCATGTCGTCATAGGGTCCCTATCAGAGGGAAGCAGAGGGACGCCGGGATACAGAGAGGACGAGGCCAGGTGAAGCCAGATGCAGAGGTTGGAGTGACGCCCTCTGAAAATGGAGGAAGAAGCCACGAGCCAAGGAATTGGGAAAGGCCAGGAACAGACCTCCCCTGGAGATTCCGGAAGAAACCAGCCCTGGCTGCCCCTTGATTCCAGCTCAATGAGACCTGTCTCAGACTTGTGACTGCATAACTGTAGAGAATAAATTTGTGTTGTTTTAAACCACTGAGGGCCCGGTACTCTATCACAGCAGCCACAGCAAACACGCCCTGGCTAGAGGCTGGGTTGCCATCACAGCACCCCGGGCCTGATGTCCAGGGATGGCCCAGTGCTAGCTAGAGGGGGCAAGGCTGGCTCACCCAGGGTGGAAGGGCCTGGCAGATGCTGGCTCCAGGAGGGCCCTGTGGGTGCGGGCCTGGGCAGAGCCGGGCAGTGAAGGGCAGTTGAAGGGAGAGGCGTGACCTTGAGTACCTTCCAGCCTGGTCACACATCACAGAGCCGGCCCCTGCTGGTCCTCATCCTCCCTGCTTCCTGAAGAGGCTGCCCACCCCCCGACCTCAGCTAGGCCACAGGCTGGGGGCTCGCCTCACAGCAAACACTGGCACCCCAGCCACCACGGCCCTGCTGGTGGGAGATGGACTCTAAGAAGACACAGCCGGGCCCAGGGCTCAGAGGATTCAGATTCCCTGTTATCACATTAAATACTGATTCTCAGCAACAGTGTAACTGGGCACACTTGATTGTACCCAGCCCTAGCCTGGAGCCACGTGGCTGGCTGGTCCCTGAAACCCGGCACCCCCTGCAAGGTAGGATACATTTCTGCATCTCAGTGAGTAGGGAGGCTCAGGGTCCCATCGTCGCCCAAGGCCGGAAGCAGCAAGAGGACAGGCCGGATCCAAACTCAGATCATCAGCTGCCACCCAGGATCCCCGCTGTCCTTCTGCATATCATTACACACTCTAAATTCTGGGATGTCTCAAACATATCAGAAAATCCTGACGGTGTGAGATTTTCCCCCTAAGTCGCCTCAACGTGAGAGCAGAAAGAGGCTCGCATGGGGCAGGAGCAACTAGTTACAGCCACTCGCCCCATAACAACGATTCAGTCAACAGCAGTCACATATCCAATAGGGTCCCATAAGATTAGTACCACAGAGCCTAGGTGTGTAGGGGGCTATACCACTTAGGTTTGCGTAAGTGCCCCGTGATGGTCACACGACGATGACATTGCCTGACGACGCGTTTCTCAGAACATGTCCCCATCGCTAAACCAGACGTGCCTGTACCCGGGTCCCTGCACCAGAGTCCAATCCATTTGTTGGGTAGTGAATGTGGCTCCGAGAGGCCCGCGGGGGGCCACGTCTCCTGGGTCTGGTAATGAGGCCATGAGGGGCTCTGATCCAAAGAGCTTTGTCTGACTGCACAGCCCGGGGACCTGGACGCAATCACAGGAATGCTGCCATGCACAGGAGCTGGGGGACGGCAAGCAGAACCCCAGGGCCAATGCGGCCGGCCCGCTCCAGGTCTTGTTGGGGCTGCAGACTGGGGCGTCAGAGGAACAGGAGCCCCCCTCTTGAGTCCTGGGAAGCTCCTTCCCCATCAAGGAAGCCTGCTCAGGCCACTTCCTTCTGGAAACGCAGGGAGGCTGCGTGACCAGCCCTGCCCATAAGGAGGACATGTTGTGGGACGCGGCTGCCTACTAGGAGCCACATGCACACCTGGGCCGGCCACAGCTGCTGCCCAGGAGCCTCAAGTGGCCTGCTTCAGCCCTGGCCTGGCCACAGAAAGGCCAGGACTCAGACCTCCTCCACAGCAGCTGGGCGTGCCCCTACCTTCGGGAGTGGCTGGGCCCACAGGAGCCCCTGACTCGACCTCTCACCTGGCCCAACAGTTTCTCCATCTGAGGGGTGCAGAACAGGGTGAGTGGAGCCAGACTCTCCCCAGAGCGTTCCTGAAGGAAAACCCGTGACTCCAAAACACAGGCCCGCTGTCTGCAGAAGGTGCACGGACCCCCTGTCCTCTCTGACCTTGAGCCTCCCTCCCCAGGAGCAAGTGCCCGGCCGGCCCCTCCCAGCTGGCTGCCCTGCGGGGCCCCGGTTATTTCTACACCGGAGGGTGTTTTGGGGGCTCCCCTGGGCTGGTCCTCAGGCTGGGGGCCTGGTTTCAGGTAGAAAAACAAAAGGAGGCGAGCGCCTCGCCCAGCAGATGCACCTTCTGCTCCCTTCCCTGGCTGTGGGTTCACCCTGCAGGGACTTGGGGCCTGGACACCTCCCCTGACCTGGCCACCCTACCCCATGGCTGCTGCATGGGCGTCTATGCAGGGAGAGAAAGGAGACACCGGCACTTTGATTGCCCTTCCCAAGGCAGGGAACGCGCCCCAAGACTTCGTTACTAAGCGCCTCACCTCCGTCCAGCTGGCTCCCAGTTAATTAGCCCTGTTAATGTGCGTATTAATGAGGCACTGCCTGCCAGTGGAGCACGTGGCCCCAGGGCCCGTCCCAAGCTGGCCTGGAAGGCTGCTGGCACAACATCGGACACCTGGGTAATTACTCTGCAGTTGGCGACTCCGCAAAGGTCGACAAAAGGCACGCCGGCATCACTCGCCACGCATCCTGCTACAGGCAGGGACCACAATGCCCGCCGGCCTTCAGCCAGAGACGCCGGGACATCAGGCAGCCCCTCTGTCTCGGGGCCAGGGTGACAGGACCCTGGCTGCACCCCGCCTTCCTAGATCTTGCCCACCCCTGACAAGGTGCCCTGTGTGGTCAAAGCAGGACCTGGAGACCTAGAGAGGCCCTGGACCAAGAGGGACAACAGCCCCCTCAGCTGGAAAGAGCCCAGTGTGTTATGTGAGCTGAGCTCTGACTGGAGAATCTGGAACTTGCTGTGTCAGCGGCAAAGGGAAGTTCTTGTCACAGCGTCCTCGGCTCCTGCCCCCGACGGACCCCAGTCCAGTTACTTCTAGACTGAGCCCCCTGCCTCCAGGCTGGGTATGGCTTCCTGTGGCCTCACTCCCCGCATGGCAGACGGGATGGACCTGGGCACCCCAGGGACCTGGAGCCCAGAGGAGCTGCCAGGATCACGGTGCGGATTCCTGGATGAGGCTCAGTGTCCACACGTGGCCAGTCCAGCCCATCACCGGAACATGGAAGACAAGCCACTCCCTGCCCCTGCATGGGGGCCACCTGCAGCATGCCTGGGATATGCCCAGTCCCGTTCTCCCGCCTGTTAGCCCGTGTCACTGTTAGCAGTGGCCCCCTTGATCCCCAGTGGGCAATGAAAGGTACGGCTGCCTGAGCCACGAGGTCCTGGAAGGCCGTGTGCCTCTCCCATCAGGTGACTGGGACCCAGGGCTTCCCCCAAGCACTATGGGCATTTGGGCCAGATCATTCTCATTAGGGGACAGTGCTGTCCTGTCCACTGCAAGGTGTCAGGCAGCACCCCTGGCCTCCCCCAAGTTGTGAAGACCATGCAGGTCTCCAGACCTTGCCGGTCCCCTGGGGCCAGACCCCTCGGCGAGAACCCCGGTGGCATAATGAAGGCTGTGACCCCTGCTTGTTAAAAACATGCTCCTGCCTCAGTCTGAAGAGATCCTCGTGTCCTCCAGACCTTCTCTGGGCTCTGAGGACGTGGGAACGAAGTGGAATCGCTGGGACCAGTGGCGAGAGAGCCAGGGCGCGGGGCCGCTGGGCGCCGCAGGAGGGGTGGGGCGGGATCTGCTGCGGAGCTGTGCTCCGTGCCCACCAATGCCAGGACTGGGAGCGGCCGCTGCCCTGTGCAGGCTCCACCTGTCCTTTCTGAGCTGGAAGACGGAGGCTGGGAGGGTGGACCATCGTCTACGGGCTCACAAGCATCCCGTGAAAGTAACTGCAAAACCCTGGTCTGTCTTTCAGGATGTGCAGGAAATGCTCCAAGGGGTATCGAAATGATGCAGAGAAACACGGTTTGCATTCATGAGTCCACTTGAAGGCCTGGGCCTGAGTGCCAGGGTCCTCAGCCAGCAGCGGGGCAGGCAGGGGAGCCCCCAACATCCCTGAGGGAAGGGGGCACCTGGAGGGGCTGGGGGGTCAGGGCACTGCCTGGGCATCCCTTCCAGCTCCCGTGGGCCCCGCCCCCAGCAGTGCTGCCCAAGTGGAGCCCACTAGGAGGGGAGCGGCCCCACCCGAGAGAACCTACATGGCCGGTCACTCCCCAGGACTTCCCCCTCCTGGAACGGCACCTGCAGCCACACTGGTGGGTAAGCACTCCACCTTCCGGGGTGGTCAGGAGTCCCCTGGTCAGTTCACCTCTATCTCAGGGGGAGGGTGAACCTTGCTGTACCTGGACCCTGGGAGGCACTGCTTAGTAGCATCCCCTTGGATGATGAAACGTGCGGCCCTTAGGCCGGGCAGGAGGAGCCCTCTGCTTGTCTAATTAATTTAACTCCCTCGACCCCATGCCTGCACAGTGACAGGCAGCACGTGGCTAAAGCACAAGTGCCCTGACCGGCCCTGGAAGCACTGGCCGTGGCAGAGCTGTTCTCAGAAGTGTCTGCTGGCTTAGAAAGAAGCACTTGGAAGGAACCTGGAATGCTAACCTGGCCCGTCTTTTCCAGCTTCTGGCACCAGGCAGGGCGGGGGGAAGGCTGCTCACACTACAGAAGACCTTGTGGGGGGTGTACTCTGTCTCCAGCGGGCGGCCTGGGGGTATTGGCTCCCAGGGAGGACGCGGGGCTGGTGCCTCCAGGTCATCAGCCTTGGATGGGGCATCTGGAGACAAATCTCTCTCCTGACTCAGCAGGAGGCACAGGGGGCTTCCAGGGGCTGCACAGGGCGTCAGGCGCTGCCTTGCCCTCCCTGGCTGGCCTGGCTCCCTGGCCGGGAGGTGAGCCAGGCCCCAGGCACCTTGGGGAGGCAGGTGTGATCCGTGATGGGGGCTCTGGGCAAGGAGTGGTCACCTGGGCTCAAGGCTGGCAGAGCAGGGCGGGGGACCCAAGCAGGGGACGGCAGGGGCCACATTCTGGCGGCCAAGGAAGTGAGGACCCATGAGGCAGGAGGGCCTGCTGGGGTTGGGGGGCCCCGCTGACACCCCAGCAGCCTGGTGACTGATGGGGCAGCGGCCAGTCTTCCTGTGTCCTGACGAGACTTGTTCCAGTGGGCACGGAGACAGAATGTGATAACCTGTGTGGACAAATGCCCCCTCACCCTCGTCTCGGCTGAGTGTCACCTCCCAAGCTGACCTCAACTCCCCAGGCCCCTCAAGTCCCTCAGGCCAGACCAAACGAGGCGGCAGTCACTTGCTGCTCCCCTGCCCATCCCAGCCGGGCCTCCAGGGACAGCAAGCTGCAACCCGGCCAGCATCACAGCCTCCACTCTGGCCGAAGTGACCATCCTCTGAGCCCTGGTTTCCCCACCTGGAAAGTGTGGGTAAAAAGACTAAGACCGCTCAGCGGGCAGCCCTCCCGCCCTGTGCCGTGGCTGCGGCCCTGGGGCACCTCCTCCCTGCAGCCCCCCTACCAACCCAGGCTGTCCCAGACAACAAAGACGGAATTTCGGTGCTGTGGCTTGCTCCCTCTGCTAGGACAGTGCCTTGGCCTGTCTGGGCCTCCAGGTGCTCATGGAATAGCCAGTGGGCGGGATGTCCTGACAATCAAGGGAACACCACTGGCAGCACCATGGGGTCAACCAGGGCTGTGGGCACACGCCCGGCCCAGCCTTTGCCAAGGGCCCTGTGGACAAGGGCGGGTTTCACCATCGCCAGGGTGTGTGGAAGCCTCTGTGTGGGAGCGCCGGCTGTGGCACCTGCTGACTACAGAGATTCATGTTGGAGAAGCCGCCTTCCTGCACTGACTGTCCGACCACCATGATCCTGTCCTGGGAGGATCCAAACTTGGGAGGCCCAGGATGGCTCAGAAAAGACGGATCTTTAGAAGAATATAACCACCATCTCTCCTCCCTAGGGGGACTCCCCTTAGGCAGATACGGGTGGTGCCCACGCTGAGTCGCTGATTGAAAACTCGTGTTTTCCAGCCTTGGTGTGCATCCTGGGACCACAGGCAGCAACAGGATCACCGGGTCACCATCTTGCAGGGGTGGCTGGTGCCCTCATGGTGACAGCACTCGCCCTGATGCGACAGGATGATGGGAGCTCCCCTCTGTGGTCTTCCTCCCCACATCCCACAACCCCAGTCTAATCGTGAGAAAAACAGCAGACAAAGCCCAGGTGAGTGGCTGACTACAAAACCCCTGCCCGGTCCCCCTCAACACTGCCAAGGTCACTAAAACAAGGAGAGTCTGAGAAACGTCACAGCCAGGAGGAGCCCAAGGAGCCCTAAATGTCCTGCAGTGCCCTGGATGGGGTCCTGGACAGAGAAAGGACTTGAGCTAAAGGCTAATGATAATCTAACAGCATGGGTTCCTTAGTTGTAATGACTGCCTCCACTATCCTAAGGTGCTAATAACAGAAAAAAGTGGGCTCAGGGCATATGGAGACTTTCTGAACTATCTTCACAATTTTTCTGTAAACCTAAAACTTTTCTTAAAAAAATACCTAGCAGGTGCCCAGGGCCTGACCTCCCCCAGCAAGCAGCTGCAGGCTGCCTCGCCTCTGGGCCACTGAAAGATGAAGACGGCAGAAACGCGTTTCGGAGAGAAAGTCATCGGTGGGGCATTCGGGGTCTCTGACTTCACAAACCGTCATCGTCATCAGTAAGGACACACAGCCGGTTTCGAGCCGCCTCCCGCGTGAGGCGTCAGAGCTTCACCCAGGTGCTTGTGACTCTGCCGCTCAGGTGACTTCTGCAGCATTTTATTGGCCTCTCCCACTCACGATGGAGGAGACAGAGGGAGAAAGATTGTGGGGAGTGAGCTGCAAGGGCTGTTTCTGGAAGGGGTTGTTCAAGAAATGCCTGGGCCCTGGCTTCCGCCCCGCTCAGCCCCGCCAAGCCAGCTAGAGCCAAAACTCCTTTCCCAAGACAACAGAGAAACAAATTCAGGGGCCCAGCCGCCACCAGAGGTGGGAGCCACACCCAGCCCCAGAGACCTGCGCTGGGGTGAGGCCCCCGTCACCATTCCGGCTACACACAGGAGAACCCGCAGGGCTCCAGGAATGAGAGGTGCTCAACCACAAACCATGACCTCCAGAATCTGGGTCCCCACGGTAAGCCCGGGACACACGCATGTTTGCAAAGTCTAAAGGTCAACGCAACTGTCACACCCACCAGCCCCACTCCACAAAGAATCTGAGGACATAGAGCCAGGCTTGCTTCATGCTGCCATGTGGGGAACTCAGCACCTGTCACAGCAGGACCCCGCACCAGCCTTGCACCCTACAGGCTGCCATATGGAGCCAATCTTCCCTGCTTTCACCCTGGGATCCAGTCTGCCTTCTACCCACTCCTGCCACCAGGTCCTGCACCTCTGATAAGACCCTCACCCAGTGTGTGGCCCCCAGAGCCCTAACCCAGGAAGGATGAGCCTGCTCTGCTGTGGGCTCCTGCATTGACATCCTTGTGCCAGAGGCCTCGGGGCAGGTCAGCTCACTGCCGCTGGCACAGACCAGGTCCCTCCAACACGGATGGATAGACAAGTGGATGGAAAAAAGGACAGATGGAAAGGAGAGTGGAGGGAGGGGTGAGCACATGACCTCAAAGGGCTCCAAGAGAGGGCCGCTCCGCAGTCATGCCCAGGTGCCCGGCCTGGGGGCTGGAACCGTGCAGGCACCCATGGATGAGTGCTGATGAATAACCACGCAGCACCAGGGTTCAAACCCCGAAGGACAGAGATGCCCATGGTGGAAGGGAGGGCCGGCATTGACAGGTCTGGCAGCATCCCTCCCTGCCCCAAGGACACGGGGGAACAGCGAGAATGCCCGCCAGAAAGGGAAGCCCTGGACTTTGTGAGCTGCATTCAGAGATCCGATGAACTCGTCCCCCGCAAAAACAGAAACACAAAAGACAGGAGAGTGAGAGGAACTGTTCCTGTCTCTAGGAGGCGGCTGCAGCAGAACTAACGGATTGAAACCCGCCTCCTGGGTTTTATGAGCATCAGAAAAGTTCCAGCACCACACTGGCCCTTTCCAAATAAGGCAGGCGGAATATGTGAACCCACTGACACGACGATGGAGAGGCAAGGGCAGCTCCAGCGGGACAAGGGGCTTCAC